TCACTCTGACTTTTGTTTCTGTTTGTAATTCTCATCTGAAATCAATATACCAGGCTTTTCATAGGCTCCAAGGGAGGCAGATGACAAACTCAAACTGTGAGCACCAGTGTGGTAGAAATATTAGCCTCATAGTAGACCAGTCTCAGGCTCCCTGGAGGCTGTGGAGCTTGCTCTTGGTTTGAGAGTGACTGTGAAGCCTCAGAGTGGCCAAGACCTAACAGAATGGAATTGGAGTGGACCTTCAGCTACTGAGAAGGACTAAAGTATAGACACAGTGTTAAGAATTGCCCCTTAGAGTTCCCTGATTTTGAGTCGATTCCTTTATTGCTGAAAGAGGTAAGACGTTCATGACGCATAATGAAGCTAGAGGAACCAAGGTCTGCAAGAGTATATTCACTGGAATTTATAATGAAGTGAGTAGCATTTCACTTAATGTGAGTGTAATAAAATAAACCTTAAATAGCTGATGAGGTAAGATAGTGAACAAACAAAATGGAGAAAAATACATCCCAAATGTTATTTTAAAAATAAATAGTTATAAAATATTCCATAACACAATCTGAATGCAAATTCACCACAAGTATTTATCCTCTAAATACACCGTAAGTACCACAGCAAAATAAAAAGTTGTAAAATTGCATCCTTATGCTCGTAAACTTATTATGGTCAAGCAACACCCAGCCTTGTGTTAAAATTTCAGTAGTTAGCCCTAAGTTTAGTGATGCCTACATTACTAGCATTTACTTTGGACAAATTTATGAAGCAAGTAGCCGACTTCTTGACTCACACCATATATCACTACCGGAATTAAACTTGAAAATTTTTCCACAGAGCTGTTCCTTTCTGGACTAAGTTTCACCTTGTCTTTTGGAGAATTATTTTCTTGCTGGTCTACTTGTCTGAATTAGTGTTCTCTGTGTCTGCCTGGAGCTTCATTCACTCCAACCAAACTGATGCCATTTTCTACATGGTTTTGTTCAGTGGAATGTTGACATGATAGCTCCAGTTACATCAGTAAATAAAAACAGAAACCACCTCTTTTCCTGTTTCCTGTAACTCCCACTCATTGAACAAATTTAATGCAAAAAATGCTACTTTACACACTGACTGATGAAGAAATACAAGTCAATGAGCTACACCATGACACTGACGCTCACGGCTTAAAGGGTACTATTTAAACTCTTCTGAATCTCCTCATTGGGGTCTGTTTAATCTCCGAGAGGAATTGAATAAAAAGGGAGTGTATGCTGTATTCCGAAGCCAGGAGAGAAAACCCTGTGTGTCTTCACACAGTAGATCTGTCCAGACAAGTGCAGAAAATAATTTGAGAACAAGGGCAAGTGTCAAGTCTGTTCAACTTTTCCTTGGGTCATCCAAATAACATCAATATCACTGCACCTGCTTCCAGTATTACCAACATTAGAAAAAAGATGGCATTAAAAAAAAGATGGCATTTTGAAAATCAGTTTTCTTACTTTTTTTGTAAATAGTGACATATTTCTAGAAAAATAGACATTGTACAAATTTAATCGCAAAATTTATCTTGAGCAATAAGGAGTTTAGACATTGTGTAATGTATAACTTGTCTACTTCTTGTGTTAAGCTAAATGTGTTTCACTGTCAAAAGAATATATGCCCTGTCTGCAGGGGAGGATGCATACTTAGGTGTGTGCACATTAGTCACTAAAATACAAGAGTAGCATAAGACAACCTTATAGCAAATTTGCATGTCACATATGGGTATATACATAATAAATAAATAAAAATGAAACAACCCACAAGCCAAATGCTATGGTGCCTGCCTCACGAAGATACTGAAAATTCTGAAAAAAAAAACCAAATTAATTAAATGAAATATAGTTTACAAAGACTATTTACAAAACAAAGAAAGTGCCAAGGCCAATGTCTGATTTAAGCGTCCACCAGACTTTTCTAGGTTTTAGACTTCTGTGAGTCTGTTCCGTTCTGAACAAATTGCCTCCAACACCATCTTGTGGACAAAAGGAGGTATATAATAAGTTTCTCAGAAATGAGAGAGGCCACAGAAGAGCTTAGCAGAAGAGCTAAACCATATTTAAAGTCTAAGACATAGCCATTGAGATTACTTTATAAACTCAACATCAGATGGTAATTTGTCTAGGCAGTATATCATGAAATAATTCTTTAAGCTCCATAAATAGGCAAATTTTTAATTTTCAACTATATCATGAAAGACAGAAAAAAGCACACGAGGTTAAAGTCATTCAACAGCTCTCTGATCAAGGTAAGAAGATGAAAAACTCAAGACCGACTGTGCTTCTGTTGTGGTAAGAGGTACTGGTCAGTGCTTTCAGTTGGCAAGAACAGTGTGCGCATGCCCAGGTCACTCTCTTTCTTTTGACTTCAAAAGCCAGAAAAATGAACTGAGAACAGCCCTTCTCTGCACAGGAATATTCCTACCTAAAATTGCTACCTCAATTGGCATAAAGTTTAGAACATGAATTCTAAAATCCTTGTTTATGAAAAAAAAACAGTTTTAATATTGTCATCATGGTCTGTAATTATTTTGTATTTAAAACATATCTGTAGTACAAATGAGAGAAAATTAATAATTCTTCTCCTTTGCTAAAGATAACACCTGAAGTAAACAGCTTTTTTTTTTTAATGAAACAAATGGTTATTTAGAGGAACATTTCCTATCCTTCTTTGGGGACCAAATTATCCTGTTTATTTTTATTGAAGGGTTGAGTACCTGCCAATCTCTTTGTTATATTAGCTAGACCTTGTAGCCCCTTGTTATGAACAGAACTGAGACAGAAAAAAACAGCTTTCAAGATAAATAACAGTGGGTTGAGGGTTTGTGCTATCGAAGTACAGTCCCAGCTCTCTAGTCATGTCAGACTTAGTCACATGTCCCAGTTTTTAAAAAATGAACTTGAATCACGGTGACAGGCCTCTTCTCAATATGCATCATGTAACATATTTATCCCCTACACTCCTCAAGTCATGTGATCAAATATAAATCCTTGAAACAGGAATAAGTCAGTCATACATTCACAGAAATTGGAAAAAGGAAGAAGAATAAATACAATTTGTAAGAAAGCTTTCTGTTCTGTGGACCTGAAGTGAATGTAAATGATGCAATTTACCAAGCAAGAAAATGAACTGCATCTTTTTATACATATGAACTGATCAACTAAAAAACCCCCAAATGCACTGATCACCAGCCAAATGTTCATGAAAATATTAAAACTATAAAATAAATAGTTTTTGAGTAAGCCAAAAGGCAAAAGGATAAATAACCAGTCAATTAATATGAAAAATAATCTTTGAAAACATATAAAAGTCTTAGCTCTACAGCAAATTCAAGTAAATTAATATGTGCCAGGTAAGTTGTAAGTTTTCAGAAAATTTAACAAATCGAAAGCTCAAAATATACATATAGCACCATCTTTTCACCTTATGTACATTTTGGGGGATAGATTATCATTTGATTATGAAGATACATATGCAAATGTTTGCATATCCCAATTTTGTGAGTTTAAAACACAGCACCATTGCAAGTATTGCATAAGAAAGAAAATAAAGGAATAAGCAATATAATGTTTAAAACATGAACAATAAATAAAGTAGACTTGGAAAATAAATAAACTTGGATGGAAATATACAGCCAAACTCAATATTAAATACCCAAAAAGCTATATTACGCACAGCCATGTTGACAGTACCTGGCCAGCAGCTCATCTATTTGTCAATGAAAACCAGTTCAAATCATGGGTGCATTTAAACAAACTCTGCCTTGTGTCAGGCATGCTTCCCAGGAAAACCATTCACAGCTCTCCCCACTCTCTGTGGGCTTGCTTTTCTAAACCCATTGTCTGTTTCGATTAATAGACAGAAGGCATCACCCTGTCCTGTGGAATATGTGCTGCTCCTTGAGGTGTGAACTTGTCTCTGTGACCGGAGGGCTCTGGTGGCACGTGTTCAGCTTCTGTGGGATCCAACCAGCTAGATCCCCCAACATCCTTGTGCTGAATAGTCTAGAAAATCAGTTGTTTCCCACAAAAAGTTCTCCAAACAATGAATAGGTAGGGAGTAAAAAATACTGTTGGGTAATTCAGTTAAGTCCACTGGAATTTTGCTTCCTTTTAGAGCATATGTTTGGTTTATTTTATTTTAATTCCCCCCGCCCCAGAGCTGAGGACCAAACCTAAGGCCTTGAGCTTGCCAGAAAAGCCCTCTACCACTAAGCTAAATCTCCAAAACCAGAACATAGGGTTTTGAAGCATGTAGTGATTTTCACGTAGTGGGTCTGGCTTTCCTCTATTGAACTTGACCTCTTTCTGGAGCTCCTGAGAAAACGGTATTCTCCTTAGGACCATGTGTGCTTCACGTACTTGCATCTATTTGTTGACACGTCATCCTCACTTTGCACTGTTCCAGTCCTTACAAACCCCGTGCTTTGCTCCGATGGTGGGTCTGGGGATCACAGAGTCAGAAGAACAATGCATCAAAGAGCACCAAGGTCTTGCCAGGCTCCTAAAGCTCACCATTTACCAAAGACTGGTGCTTTGCCTTTGCCACCAAACACCTCTTAGGGAAAACCACTTTCTGTTCTCCGTCGGAGACTCACTGACAGGAGCACAGGGTCAGCTGGGGTCTTCCATTTTCATATAGCATATGTTCGTGAGGAGTGCTTCAAACGGAGCTCACAGCTAGGAAGCCACAAAACCATTTCAGCAGTTGGCAATGATGAGTTTGGGGGCTCCCTGATAAAGAGCTCCCATGGTTTGTTTTTGAAAAATAAATGAAAAGTGAATCTCTTATTGCCTGTTTTTCTGCATAAATAGAATGAATGTAGGATGGTATAAGACTTCTTGTGAAAATCAGTCATAGAACAGTCAGCAGTAGTAATGCACTGTCTCAGTCTCAAAAGAGCAGAATGAAAATGTTAAGCAACAACAGTAAATTGAAAGATGAAGAAAATATCAAGATACACTTGAAAAATTAAAGTCCAGAAATCAAAGTCTAATCATGCAGATGAGTTTATAAAGTGTATGTCGTCTGGGTACCAAATCATGTCATGTGACTTCTGAAGAAGCGGTGACAAGCTTGCTTGCCTTTTTCACATGAAACTGAGTAGAACTCAGAGCCACAGTAAAGCAAAACATACGGAACGAAGTTGGGAAACACCTGAAAATACTGGTTTGCAATTACTGTCAGAATAGGATTCAGATGGTGGCTTTGGATGTCTGCCCAACATCAGAATTAAAAAAAAAAAAAAACCCAGCAAAGGAAAGCAGTCCAGAAATCATAAGCCTCGAGAGCACGTGGTTGGGAAGCTCATATCGAGAGCTCTAAGGGCATGGCAATATCACCAGGAATGAAGTCTTCCTCCTTCTGTAGTTTTCATTTTCTACCCCTGCTGATGGGCAGGGGTCATAGGATGGAGGCAATCTTCTGGATTGCATCTTCCACTGGGTCCTGGGGGTCCTTGAGGCCCTGGGGCACCAGGTGAGCCTGGCAAACCCACTGCTAAAGAAATAAAAATACACCATGAGAATGCAGATCACATGTGATCCTGTCTGCCTCCCTCTCTCCAACCACCACAGGTCATTCAACCGAACCGGTAAGGTCCACAGGGGAGAAGAGGGCTATTCTGAGAGGCTTGCATTTGTCAAGATAATATGCCTATTACCTGAAGATCCAGGAAGACCTGGACTCCCTGGCAGCCCAATTCCAGGTTCACCTCTTTCTCCCTTCTGTCCTCGGTAGCCTGAGTGAGATAAATAAAAAGAGAGACAAGAAGAGTTTGCAACACTAACATGCACATGATAGTACTGTTTTCTGAGTCCCCCAGAGCTGAGGACCAAACCCAAGGCCTTCAGCTTTGCTAGAAAAGTGCTCTACCACTGAGCTCAAACAGCTGTGTGTGCTGATTCCTCACTCTTCAGACGTTAATGTTCATTTCATATTTGTCATGCGTTAAACATAAATGTTAGGTTGAGTACAATAAAGTATGTAGGAGCTGATAACCATGCAGCTAATATATAAAGTTAAAACAAACCAAGCTTTTGATAGTGAGATTTATTAAA